CTCCCTCTGCTTCTCCCCCCCGCCCCTCTGGCTCGCTCTCTATCTCTAAAATAAAATCTTTTTTAAAAAATCTTTAAAAGAAAAGAATAAAAAATGTCTTTCTTTCCTTCTTCCTGTTGTCTCTTTAAGTCAACCTCCTAGGTTGGCAACATGGTAATGTGTCTGCCTTGCTGGTAGCCTTGTTTGACTTTAGTTGAGCGGCAAACAACTAAAACTCAGTCTTTTTCATGTGAACTGATAATTAACTCTGTTACAACTTTCTTTCCTCCAGTTTTCCCCTCCCTGTCTCTCCCTCTCTCTCCCCAGCCCATCTGAGCATAGGGTCTTATGTTCCTTCTCTTTCCGGTGTCATCCTAGGGTGAAGGAAACTTTCTTCTGTGTGTGTGTGTGTGTGTGTGTGTGTGTGTGTGTTTTAATGCAGAAGGAACATACTAATCAAACTGGTCAGGGAGGACGCTGGCAAAGATACCTAGAGAAGTGATAGTCACACCATCATTAATTAAGGCAGAAAAATGGCATCTCAGGAGCATCCCTGTTCCCCTGCTGCTTTTCACTAATGGATGTTTAAAGTAATGACTGGTCAATAAAGTTTTTACTTCAAATCTGTTAGAAAAGTTAGAGAATTCTATGTGGTGAGATTAGGGGAGATACCTCTTCAAATTTTTTGTATTTTACAAATTCTTCATAATGAACACATGTTCCTTTTTATAATCAGAGGAAAGCTGTTTTAAAAGCAAGATAGTGTGTAATTTAAGATTTTTTTAAGGTTTTTTTTTTTTAAGATTTTATTTATTTATTTGACAGAGAGAGACAACACAGCAAGAGAGGGAACACAAGCAGGGGGAGTGGGGAAGGGAGAAGCAGACTTCCCGCTGAGCAGGGAGCCTGACGCGGGGCTCGATCCCAGGACCCTGGGATCATGACCTGAGCTGAAAGCAGACGCTTAACGACTGAACCACCCAGGCGCCCCTTTAAAAAGATTTTTATTCATTTATTTATTTTAAGGAGAGAGAGGGAGAATGTGAGCCTGAGTGGGGGGAGGAGCAGAGGGGAGAGGGAGAGGGACAAGCAGACTCCCCACTGAGCTCAGAGCCCAAGGACAGCTTGATCCCAGGACCCTAAGATCATGACCTGAGCAGAAACCAAGAGTCAGATGCTTAACTGACTGAGCCACCCAGGAGCCCCATAACTTTTTAAGATTTCTATGGAAAATCTAATATACAAGGAAATTGAAGCCATGTAAGGAGATTGGACTGCTGAAATCTTCATCCCCATATGCTGATACTGTTAAAAAAGATGAAAGGGGGTGCCTGGGTGGCTCAGTTGGTTAAGTGACTGCCTTCGGCTCAGGTCATGATCCTGGAGTCCCGGGATCGAGTCCCGCATCAGGCTCCCTGCTCGGCAGGGAGTCTGCTTCTCCCTCTGACCCTCCCCGCTTTCATGTGCTCTCTCTCAAATAAATAAATTAATTAATTAATTAAAAAAAAAAGATGAAAGGGTGATTAAAATTACAGTGTCGATGGGGAGAGTGGTGAGGGATGGAAAGAAAACTCCTAGTTTTCCTTCCACATAATAGCACATGACAAGTAGAAAAGCCAGACTCTTGGAGTGATTTAAGTGTTTCTGCTGAAGCAAGAAAGCCCTTAGGATGAGTTTGCCAGAAAGATTTAGGCAAGCTGTACAAACTGCAGAAAGACCAAGGAAAGTGAAAAGAGAGGAAGTTTGGAAGAAAGTTGAGGAGAAGGCATTTCACTTCTATTTTGCAATAGTTACATTGTGGCAAGATAGGAGTGTTAGAGTCCTTGAGTATGAAAGGGATAAACAGCATTTGGCATGAGTTAGGAAATATTCATTATCAAAATAGATATAATTTCCTAAAGGTAACCATTATGTTGATAGAAGAGAATGGGCTACAGTGGGATTATAAAGTAACTTACTGTTCCTCAGGACTGCTCCTGTAAATGCTGCTTGGCTATTTCTCGCTTCCCACCCCTGGATGAAATTTCCAGTAGGGCTCATCATTTCATAACTTTTCTCCTCACTCTTAGATCGTATCTAGTCACTTTTAGTCAGTAAAAGCTCTCATTTTGGTAATTAAATGCTTGGCCTGTTATAACACTAAAACCCTTCCTCAGGTTTCTTCCTTCCCCAGGTCAGACCTGAGATGGAGGGGAAACCCTACTTAGTGAATCTTTTCTCTCCTTCATTGCTTCTCTTTCTTCCCACTCTGCCATCCTTGGAATCTGACCCTCCTCATCCTCCATTAAAATGTGGGCTGGAGTAAAGCCTGTTTCCAGTAGCTTTTTTCTAGGCGGTTATCTGGAATCTTTTTTTTTTTTTTTTTTTTTTAATATCCCTAAAAGAACAACTTGTACATGGAGTATCTTCAGGGATTTTTATTTGGGGAGCGGAGGAGGGGAGGAGGTTTAAGTAGCAAAAGCAATTGTCTTTTCAACATCTGGGACTGAATGTCCCACTTCTAGAATGGGATTTGCAAGGCTCTTAAATGAGAACTCCCCACTGCAGTGCAGAGGGGCTTGGGACCACCGAAGCTGGAGAACTACAGCTTCCTGCCCCACCTCCCCTATCTTGCTTACTGCTGTATATTCCAATTTCCCCTGAGAGAGGCTTACTGGTGAGCTGGTTCACTGTCACTCAGCATGGCTCACACATGGTGGGCAGAGGTCAGCTGATGCAGAAGCCCCTGGGCTTTCTGTGGAGGGGCGGTTGCACTAACCAAGCAATGCTGCTGCACTTGCAAAAATTATGGGGTGCAGGGGCTGGGGGGAGCAGTGTGAGGTAGGGATTATCATGGGGGCAGCTCCTCTCACAATGGTGTCCCTCAGGCGAAGCACACCAAGATTGAAGAACCCCATCTCCCTGAGTCATCATTTCACTAGCCAACACAATTCCGCAAGATCTTCAGTGCCTTTTGATCCAATCCACATTTTCTCTTTGTGTCCACACACTCATCAAGAAAACCTGTCAAATGCCTTGCTGACTACTCAGTACATTATGTTTAGAGTGCAGATTGCCATTCTGGGGCTACAGATCCCTATGAAACCACAAATTCCTATTCCCATGTCACTTTTACAATCAGTGGTTACTAAAACGTCACCTGCTATCCTGTGTAGGCCCTCAAAAAATTATTAGACATGAAAACAGTATGTTCGTATTGAAATCACTGATTTGGACACAATGGGACTCAAACCCAAGTCTGAGAATGGTATGTCACTGGAATCAGCTGGGGAGATATTTTTAAATCCCCGAGCATGGTCTTAGTTTTTAAGAAGGTCCATGGATGGTTCTGATGTGCCAGGGTTGGGGACCATTGAAAAGTATTTCCCAGTGGATCAATCTGGCAACTCCCGGAAAAAGCCAATGAAGAGTATGGCTCTGTCAGATGTTGGCGAGACATGCATGAGACAAGGAGGCAGTACCCCAAATCATATGAAAGGGTTGTAAATAGTGTAGTTTCTTCCTTATTGGCTTACTAAGGCCAGACACTGTTCCAAACAGGGTAAGGGAGTTGGTGTGGGATAAGGATAGAGTGAACCTTAGAGTAGGGGGAAGACAGGTAAACAGGTTAAATATGCTTTAACACAAACTCTCTCAGTACCTCTAGGCACTATGGCGTATGAAGGTGGATACAGTGGATGGACTGACCACCTATGCTTGAGGTCAACAGGGAAGCTACACAAAATTGGGGACCACTTCAGTTGCATCCCTTGGAATCAGCTGGACAAAGAGACAGGGAAGAACATCTCGGGGACTAAACAACACTGTGCAAAGAATGGAGATGAGACCGAGTATGGCCCAATGTTCCAGGAACTGTAAATACTTGCCATCCTGGGGGTGGGGGCAGGATAGGAGGAGAGTAATGAACAAAGCAATGGCAGGAAGTCTGACAGGGGCAAGTACTTTTTGGTAATTTATTCTATGGAAATGGAAGGCTGCTGAGGAATTTAATCAAAGAAGTGACCCAAGGGAGCAATCTCCTGGAGAACCAGTTAGTGGGGCACCAGCAGAGGCAGGGAGAGAGTTGGGGGCTCTTGGGATAATCCTGGTGGGGAGTTTCTGCAGCCATTAAATCGGGGTTGATGAAGTGGCTGATAGGATGACCTTGGGGAGGGGAGGGAGAGCTGCATAAAACGACTTCCCAATTCCCGTCTCGGTCTCGGTGGATGGGAGCAGGAGCCGGGTCCCCAGACCGGACCAGCACAGGAGAACGATCACATTGGGTGCGGGGGCGAAGAGCTCAGCTTTGCGTTGAACTCTGGAAACTTCAACAGTTGAAGGAAGGGAGGTGGAATCTGAGAGTAGCAGCCAGAGAAATGGGAACGTAACTCGGAGAATGGGAGTCACAGACGCCCAGGGAGCAGAACATTTCCATGAGGGAGTCTGGAAAGGAGTCCCCAGTAGGACGTGAGTTGAAAGCTGTCAATCGTTTTTTGGCCTCGGGCAAGTCCGAGGTACCTTCAGCCCAGACCAGGTGGAGGCCAGACTGCCGGCTGGCCGGGGCTGCCCAGGGGTCCGGGGAGCCGGGCAGGGAGGAGGTGGGCTCTCTGGAAGACCAGGATAGATACAGACCCCACAGGCGTTCGGACAGGGTGGGTGGACACCTGGCCTCTGGGTTCCGGAGGAAGAGACTTGAGCGGACCTTAGTTGGCAATGTATTAGCAATGTCTTCTGAAGTTATAATTGGGTTTATTTCTCTGCCTGAATTTTGATTACAATGGTGAATAGGGATTATAAATTAACTAAAATAGAAAAAGTGACACTGACAAGGAAGAAAATATTGCCAGTGGCACTTGTCAAAAATACACCCATTTGGAGCCCACAGGGAGGGGGCGGAGGGCCGCTGAGTCGGGGGATTCGCTGACCCTGGACCACACCCACCTCGCTCGCCGGCTTCCTGCTGCTTTCGGGCTCCCCCGCCCTCCGGGGGCGTGGCCACCTGCAGCCCCGCCCTGCCGCCAGCTACCACGTGATCTGTCAGTTTGAGGAGAGGGAGGAAAATGGCCGCCGGGTTTGGTGAGGGCGAAGCGCTGGAAGTCGCCGTCTCTCCCTTTCCCGTCTTCTGACTGCGCCTGCGGCAAAGCAGGCCCTTTCTATTCGAGCTGCGCGCGCGGTCCTTAGGTCGGATTGTGAGACGGTCAGTGCGATGGTCGGCCTCGAGGGATGACGGGGAGAGGAGGTGGGGGCGAGGCCCAGCGGGGAGGGGGCGAGGCCGGAAGCCTGGCTGGGCAGGGCCGAGTGTGGAGGGCCCGCGGCC